TATCCCATGCATTAACTGTTCTACGGGTTTAGGGTGTTAGGATTTGCTGGGTCATGCTAACACTGTCCCCTCAGCGGTGCGATTCTTTGGGGCTGTGTGGTTGTGGGTTTGATTTCCCGCGATTGTGAGTTTACGTGCACTTGTACTCTCTTTGTGGTGAGATCTTAAATGTATAAATGTTGTGTTTGTGCTGTTGATTGTCTGTGTGGTGATGTCTCAAATGTATGGATGTTTTATTTGTGTTGCTAGTTGTTTGTGTGGTGATATCTTGCATTTATGGATGTTTTATTTGTGCTGTTGATTGATTTGTGCTGTTGAATGTTTGTGTGGTGATATCTCGAATGTATGGAAGTCTATTGATGTTGTCAATTGCCTTAACACTGACTAGCATTTGCGGGACATATAAACATGTCGAGACATGTACATAGCAGACATTCACATCATAAGCAACATCCCACTGTTGCTAAGGCCAGACAGCTGAGACCTACTATTTCGTTTAATCAAACCCTAACTTTTTTTTAAACCTAATAAACAGTCTGTGTGATTATACTATACGCTAAAACCTAAAAAACACAGTCTGTGTGATTATACTTACAACTACAGTCTATGCAGCATGATCCACGTATCACAATCCCGCTCACTTGCCCTCATTCGTACGTACAAATCCTGTTCGAAACCCTAAACCCCTAAACCTGACATCCGCATCCTCTGTGCACAATCAATGCGAGCAGAGGTGTCTTTTCGCTGCGATGGGATCAGCCGAACTGGCAGTGATGCTGTCAAGGCAGCCATTGCCTCACATCTGCAACAATGCGCGGGAGAGGCTGTGATGAGCTTAGTGGAGGACATCACACACCACATGATCGAGCTATCTACACGCATGGCCACGGCACACGCCCAGCAACAAGTACTGGCGCATGGGCAAGCCGACGACGCTCCTCGGATGCTGTATAAACGGTGCACATTCCTGTGTGACCACATGCTGAGCGGGCGGCAGCACAAGAAGGAAAGCAAAGTGCGGGACGTGTGTGAGGGGTTGGGGTTGACTGGGGCGCTGTTCTACGGCAAGCCGAGTGTGGTGATCGTGGAGGGCTCAGAGAGTGAGATCGAGCAGTTTGTGCGTGAGGCGGGAAGGCAGGGGAAGGCTATGAAGAAACGCAAGACGCAGAGCTTGGTCGTTGGCAATGCCGATAGGAGGTATCAGAAGTTTGTGCTCGTGCAGGCTATAGGGAAGACGGACACTCTCGACACAGGCACTCTGAAGGAACATCTAGAGGACCTGGGGATAGGCGCGAAGTTTAAGCACATCATCGGTGTAGAAGAGCTGCAGTAGCACAGAGCGGTGGGACAGGTGTGCACCTGCTCAGGTGGCGAACGAGAATAAAGTGATGACGAGAGAGGGTCTTAGGAATCAGATCACACACTGTTGCTGTAAAAATTTGGCTCGTCACAGTTTTAACGAATCTTTTGGGGGGTTTTAGGTCAGTGGGCTGGGTAAATACCTAGGCCTTTTGTTTTTAGGACATTATTGGTTGTGTATATGAATTGTTAATAGGAAGAATCCAGCATGGACTACTTAAACTTAGTTTGTCAATTTGCGTGCTGTCATACAATAAACAACGGTTTTTCACAGCAGGTTATCGACACCATACAATATTTAATTAAGATATTACCTACATATTGGTGCAAATACATATATGTAAGAACTTATAGGATATCATATAGCAAACGTCAGTAATTTTTTTTTGAAAATCACTGAAATTATGATATGCATTTTCCGTATACTGCTGAATTGTGGACATATGTTTCCGTATTGCAATCATTGAAGTTCATCTGTTGACGTTCAAGTGTTTGCTACAATGCTAAAACGAGACATAGGTATAAATATTGCAATCAATCAGCGAAATACTACAACGTTCGTATTTGCAACTAAACCCCGTAAAAAAGTGTCAATGTTGAACTATTTTGCAAAATGTTGAAAACGTGATATGCCCAAAATCTACAAACATATTTTTTCCATCATGCTGAACACACGGCATATGTGTCCAAATTTCAATTACTAACTGACATCAAATTTTGGTATATAAGCGGTTTTCATAAAGCTGAAAACGCAGCACATAATTGTCGATGATTCCCGACCCCTGATGTTTAAATTTTCACATACTGTTTATGTGTCCTTATTGCAATCTTCATTAAGCGATAACAACGGTTTTCAAAGTGTCTATAGTCTACAAGTGACATTCAAGTATTTATAATAATGCTGCAAACAAGACATAGTGCCAGACTGCGATATATCAGCGACAGACTCCAACGTTTTAGTGTTTTGCACAATGCTGAAAACGTGACAAGTGTCTATATTCTACAGACCTTGACATCATGATTTACCGCAAAATGCTGAAAACGAGACATACGCATCCATATTGCAGTTATTCCGTGACAACTGAAATCGATGACACGAAAATTTACATCTATAAAAACTTTGACATTCAAGGCTTGATAATCAAATTTCTGTATAGTGCCAAAAACAAACTGGACATGTGTGTCCATATTGCAATCATTTTGAATTCATTTAGCGACAGCCCCGGGACGCAAAGCACTCATTTTTCCACTAGCTGACACATTCAAGTGAATTTCATCATGATGAAAAACAGAACGTAAGTGTCTAAGGTTCCCGAGCCTTGATATTATAATTTTCTGCGTAGTGATGAATTGAAACTGTAAGTTCGTAATTTTTGAACATTGGTATTCCAATTTATCGCATAATACTAGCAAAGGACACAAATATCTATATTACTATCATTTAACTTCAATCAGCAACAATCCTGGAAGGCGAATTTTCATTTCTCCACAAGCCTTAACATTCAAGTGATTTTCACGGTCGAGAAAAACAGGACGAAAGTGTACGATTTACCGAACCTTCACAGTTTCCGAACCTTGATATCCAATTTTTCCTCATAATGCTGAATACGGGACATAAATGTTCATAGGTTCCGAACATTGGTGCACTAGGCGGTTCCAAATTGAAATTTAGTTGAGACGAAATTCGTTCAAAATCAGGTAGCAGGAAGGAGTCTTTGCCTTTATCTTTCACATACGCGGTGATGACGGAAATTTGTCCAAAATTAGGCAGGAGGAAGGAGTCCTTACTCTACTCTCTCACATATGCGGTGATGTCTAAAGGTTAGGGTCGTATACATCTGGAAAATCGTTCATCGACTGTTTGAGTAACCTTGTCTCGGCTTTGTATGCAGTTGCCCTGTCA